AACCAGAGGTCACAGGACAATATAAATTACATATTCTGACTCAGCATTGAATGGACTTTCATATCCAATCAAAAAATCCCGAGTGCCAGCTTAGCAGGATCCTGACAGTCTTCTTTATTGCCATTACTAATTAAAGCAAGTAAAACCCTCCCACTTCAACTAAAGTATTATTTATTAAATTAAAATTGCCATATATCATAAAACATAATTTCTTAATTAATATCCGATATAATCACTTAATAATCATAAATTGTTATATTGAGTTTTAAAATATTGAATTGTTAGTTTTATTAAAATATAAAGCTATTTCTACATAATTATTTACTATGACTCAAAACCTATACAAATAATTTGTTTTTCATTAAATCAGGGCTTTGCTGTAAATTAAAATAAAAAAATGTATAACGTTATATTAATATGTTCGCGTTTATTGCAGCTATAAACAACAGCCCATAAAATAAATAATAAATGTGATAAATTTCATGGTATTAAACATAGTATTAAACAAACTAACAATACTATAAAAATTTTTACTCTGACTCATAATATTGCTGTTTAATATTATGTACTGTAAGTTGTTATTAAAATAACATATATGCTATTATTAATTATTAAGAAAATTGGATGTCATCTATAATAATAAATATGTAGAAATACCTAGATGAATACAATTGTTTTCATAATTACAGATAATATTTTATGTTAGTATTATTTCTTAAATAATTAAATTTCCAAGAACTAAAATATATTAACTAAAATATTTATTTATTAATTTATAATTTGTATTTAAAATTAGTTAAAAATTATTGTATTTTTAAAATTAAATGTTTTATTCAGCCATATTGTATTATTACTAATTAAAAATATTTTACTACGTTTATTAGGTTATTATTTACGACTCATTGCCTACATTACAATATCAATTATTAAGTTATTTTATGAATAAAATAGTTGTTAAGACCTTAAATAACATATCCTTTTGGTATCAGTGTTAATGAAAGTTTTATCTATTTTACAATAATTTTATAGAATAACATTGCCTCCAATACTTTAGCTAATAACTTATATTGGTTCACATATAAGGTGACATTTATGGTGTATATCCGTTACTAGCACTAACAGTTTAGTTTAAAAATTATTTAAAAATCATTATAACTTTAGTTTGAAAAAATATTAACAGGGTATATTATTTATTATATAACAACAATTTTATTAATATAAAATGTTAAATATTTTTATTTAAAAACTTTATTGGTTTGTAAAAATTTCATTAGATTCTATTATAATTGAATGTTCAAAGTTAAAAAGATTAGATTCTGTAGTATCATTAGAATTTCAAATTTATGTTCATAATCTAATCATTGCATTCGATTATACCACTTATTGTTTGTTAATTTTTAAAAAATATTAATTCAGTATAATAATTTTTATTGATATTTATTAACCTTAATCATTTGTATAAATATTATTTATAGAATTATATAGTAACTATAAATTAGCATAATAAATAAATGCTTAAATGTTTTATGCATGATCTGCACCAATTGGTTGTTACAATTTTTAAATCTGATTATAATATAATATTTTTAAAACTAAAAATATTTATATCAATCTGAATAACATAATGAAATTAAAATAGTTTTTTAAATACACCAACTACTTAACTATAATTGAAGTATAAATCGATTGCTTTATTTATTTAATATGATAACATTATTAAGTGGGAAGGGAATGGGAAGGTTTTAAGTAGCTTGGTAGGTTCTGTTGTTTATAGTGTTTCCAATATTATTCTTTGATAACTTTATTACTTATAATCAATCGGTCCAATCGGTTGAGAAACACAAAAGTTGTGAAGAGTCAAAGTTCATGAATTTGGCCAAAATGTACAGGGTTTGGTCATATTTTTGAAATATATTAAAAATTTTCCAAGTTTTATTATAAGATTTTCCCAAATTATGGACACATCCTGTACATTTTGGCCAAATTCGTGAACTTTGACCCTTCACAACTTTTGTGTTTCTCAACCGATTGGACCGATTGAGGGCTCAAATGAAAGGTCTATTCTTCCTCTATCGGACACATACCACACTTACCAGACGTGGGCACCGGAAGTGACCGGAAAAGGTGTCCCGGAGATGGTCCCGAAATTCCATAGAAAGCGTTAAAATTAAAAAATTATTTTTTGTGCCTAAAATTCTCGNAGGTCACAGGACAATATAAATTCCACAATCGGACTCAGCATTAAATGAACTTTCATATCCAACCAAAAAATCCCGATTGCCAGCATAGCCAGATCCTGACAATCTTCTTTAATTAATATTTAATAAATTCTGATACAAAATATTAAATTTAATATATCTTTAATATATCAACTAATGCCCTAGATATATGATCAATTACAAATTACCATGACACGTGTGCCATATTAGGGTCAAACGGTTAGACACAAACATACAGTCAATTAATTTTCAAACAAAAAAACGCATAAAAGACGACAAGTGAACTAGTTACATTCAGTATATCATAAAACAATAAACACTTAAGTTGACTTATTTTAAAAGATTTATACCCAGAAACGTTATCATATTGTTTGGCATACAATGAGACTACTATTGGCAATCATGGCGGTGGTGGTGGTGCTGATCGCCGGGTGCTGTGGCCAATCACCTAGCTCACCTAATCCATCTAATCCATTTCAAGGGAGCTCATTTGGTTGTGGTGGACTACTTTCTTTCCTTGATAATGATTGCGTTGAAGATTTCCTTAAAGGTTAATGATGATGGTTAAGATCCAGAGATAAGCAGGGTGTTTTGGCAAGGTAAGACGGATGTTGGGTAGGCTGTTTCGTTGTGAGAGCCTAGTTACGAGTGAGCCAACCCAAACCAAATTTGCCTTGCTAGACGCTTTAATTGACTAATTAAACAATATAAACAATATAGCTTACTAGAATGTTTTACTTGTTTACATGAATCTTGAATTATATAATATTTTGGAATATAATTATACAGTGGATTGTTGTACTAAATTTTAGTTTATTTTAAAATAAAATTATAATTAAAATGTATATGTAATTTATTTCTAAAAATAAAACCAGTACTTATTTACATATCAATCTGAATAGAATTCGCTTGCTAATGTTTTGTGTTTAGTAAAATAATTTAATAGTTATAAATATATATTATTAATATATAAAACTTATTATTTTAATGTGTTTACAATATCATATATTTTTCAACAATAAGATATGATATTTTTTACAACAGTGTAGTTCATACAACAAGGTGATTAGTAAGGCATACTAGATTTAAATAAAGTAAACATTTAAATACCCGTTTATAAATAATTTATTTTGTCAAGGTTACTAAACCAATTAATGTGTAAAGTTTATTAAACCAATTAATGTGTAATTATATTTATTTTTGCACATGTTGCTTATTACAGATTTATGTATTGAATTTAATTGATAATTTTTAAACAAATAAAAAGGTTTAATTATATTAAACAAACTCTAAGTCTGTCTAAAGTTTCATGATCATTTATAAACTGCATTATCTGCTCATAGAAGTTTTACGATTAAAATGTTTAACAGCTTGTACAATTTTAAGATAGGTTTTTATATTCTCACGACATTAACTTAACTTAAATTTAGTGCAAAAAGTTTTATATAATCAACATAGATTTATTTAATTGAAATTACATATAAAAGTAAAATGTATCTGGGTTATAGTGGTCCTAATTCCCCTCCGTAGCATATTGTAAACTGTAGGGATAGGCTAATGAAAAGTTGCATGTTGTTATATTAATATCAATTTTAGTTATAAACTGTAAATGTTTTTTGATTTTGTTTTTAAATTGCCTTTTATATACAGTTTCCAAATATGTATAAAATGATTGTAACATGTCAGTTTTCCACTACACCTGTTATTTAATACATGACTTACAGGATATTACCATGTTTATACCGTGATTACATATAAAAATAAAATCCTTTAAGTTTAAAAATTGGAAAGTGTGGTAATAAATTGTTTTCATAAGAACATTTAAATAATAATTTTATTTCAACTAGAGCTAAAATGTTTAATTCAAAACTAATTATATTGATAACATTGGTGTCTATAGTGAGCGCTGACTTCAATATCGATGACTATAAAGATGTGATAAATTCACGTAATTTTACGGGAAAAGTAGTTTTAGTGACCGGCAGTAGTTCGGGAATCGGTGAGGGTATCGCCAAACTATTCTCCATATTAGGGGCCAATGTTGTGGTCACCGGTAATACAGCCGCCAAAGTACAGAGAGTGGGCAAAGAGATACAGGAATTGTCACCAAAGAAACTAAAGGTTTGTCTAAATATTAATATATTCTCGCACATTTTAATTGTAATATGAATTTATAACTTTTGAAAATATCTATTAAAAATTTAACATTAAACAAACTTAACCTTACTTAACGTAACCTAACCTAACCTAACCTAACCTAACCTACCAAGCATTAAATATACTAATATCAGTAAATACACAGTATGTAAATAAATGTATAATAAATATAATTATCATTAATTAACTTATTTGTAAATTAAATTTAAAACACTATTAAACTCATTATTAAAATGAATTCATATATAATTCATAGCCATTAGAAGTGGTCGGAGATCTCACCAAAAGTGATTTCATCCACACTTTGGTCGCAGACACTATCAAAACATTTGGCAAAATAGACGTATTGGTGAACAACGCCGGTATATATCCCGCGACAAACATCACTCAATCAGATGTCATGCAAGTCTGGGATCAGGTCTTTGCCATCGACTTGAGAGCAGTCGTCGAACTGATCCACGAATCGGTTCCATATCTGGAGGAAACTAATGGCACTATCATTGATATCTCGAGTATCGATGGCATCGCACCAGTAATATATTAATTGTAATGTAATTACAAGTAAAATATTTTGACCCTGATCCTATTTATACATAACAATAGAATGTCTATGGGTTAGCCTACTCTCCAGCAAAAGCAGCCCTGGATATGTTGACTCGAGTACTGGCTCTACAGTTGGGCCCAAAAGGCATTCGTGTTAACAGTTTGAAGTAAATTTGAATTTAAAAATAATTTCCATTAAATATGGGGTCATTCAAAATGTATGGACATAAAGGATAGTGCAGTGGTCAGGGAAAATATGATTAAAGAACACTGTCATAATACAATACAGAATTTGCTAAGCTGGCACTCGGGATTTTTTGATTGGATATGAAAGTCCATTCAATGCTGAGTCAGAATATGT